AAAAACGCTATGTAGTCTTTATACTGTAAGTATGACCAAAAATAAAAACCTGAGGAGAAAGAAAACTTAAACTTGTATAAATGTAAATTTTATCATCAAAATCTTTGTAAGATGAAAGATTCTGATATATAAATTGTGTACATTCTAGAAAACCAGAGATATTTGTGAAAAATGATAGTGTGAAAAATTGTTTACATATATAAAAAAAAAAATTGTTCCACAAAAGAACATTTCAATTTAAAATAAAATAAAATTATTAAATTTTAATCAATTTCCCAGTTGAAAAAAATTTTTATGGCTTTATTTCTCTCGCTGTAGGCAATCATGAATCTCTACAGCTTCCTTTTCTTTTTTAATGACATATCCCTTCCTGATGTAGGTGATCATGATTCTCCACAGCTTCCTTTTCTTCATTATCTGTGTACTACGATGCATTCTTGCAAAAGATAGTAATTTCCCATTTCCTTCTCCATGGTTTGGAATTCAAAGTTTTTCTTCTTTTTAGAGTTGTTGTCACCCAGAGCTATAGAACCCAGTCTACCTTGTTATTTATCCCATTGCTAAGAGGAGAAGAGACAGATTTATGGATCACATTATATGGAAAATCATATATATATATAGAGTAATATATTTATATTGAAAAACTAGCAGACCTCATTCAATATGAATATGAAGCTTCTGCTTTCTATTAAAAAATAGGATCACATTATACATCACAACTAAATAATTTATTAATATAATAATATATAGAAAAATACAGTACTGCATTTAACAAGAATATGAAAATGTCTTTTCTTTCTTTTTATGGGAAATTTTTTATTAGAGGGTGTGCTATAATGATGGAACACATTTTAAATGCAAGTACCTTGGATTATAAAAATGACATAGAGTACCAAATATATTTATCGCACAAGTGATTCAACATCTATATCGATAATTCTCAAAATGTGTGTGTGTATGTATGTATGTATGTATGTGTGTGTGTGTGTGTGTGATCGAATGTTGTTTATGCATTTCCACAGTTTTCATCCAATTTTGATGAATTTTTTGTGTTTGATAGATAATTCTTCACTGCTGATTTTGAGTCCAAATTGGCTGGAAAAAATTACAACTTTGAGTTAAAGGTGAAAAATAAAAAAAAACTGATTTTTTACACTTTGTGAAAAAATCAAAGGCAAAATGTCAGTAAAAAACAGCATACAACCAATTTAGAGAGTTGAAATCTAACGCAAATGATTATTAGAATTATAAAAGAAATTATATTATAAATAAAAATTATCCTATATTATTATTGCCAGTCTATGGAGAGGTTCCTTTTTGCAAGATTGAGAATGCAAAAATGGCGACCTTTTCAGGACCACCCCCTAATTCAAATTGTTAACCCCCCATTTGGGGATGTGTCTCTGTATTTATTTTCGGGTGGGCTGATTTTAAACTTATAACTGGTCTCATTGAACAGCAAAAATTCCCAGTAATGAAATACCTGGTCAAAGACAGGTTATACTGCTAATTATTTGAATATTACATCACTGAGATGGATACCACCATGAAGAGAACATGCATGAGCCCACTCTCTCATTTCAAATACAGACATTATGAGGGTCCACTGTCAGTGAAAGAGATATCAGATACCTGTAAGAAATAGCAAAACCTTAGATAATATGTCATTTTTATAATCCAAGGTACTTGCATTTAAAACCCTCTATAAAAAAATTTCCCCATAAAGAAAGCAGAAATACATTTCATATTCTTGTTAAATGCAATACTGTATTTTTTCTATATATTATTATATTAATAAATTATTTAGTTGTGATGTATAATGTGATCCCTATTTTTTTAATAGAAAGCAGAAATATGCTTCATATTCATATTGAATGAGGTCTGCTAGTTTTTCAATATGAAAGCTATTACTCTATATATATATATGATTTTCCATATAATGTGATCCATAAATCTGTCTCTTTTCCTCTTAGCAATGGGATAAATAACAAGGTAATTTGGGTTGACTATAGTAATTGGGTGACAACAACTCTAAAAAGAAGAAAACTTTGAATTCCAAACCATGGAAAAGGAAAAAGGAAAACTATCTTTGCAAGAATGCATCGAAGATAGCACAGATAATGAAGAAAAGGAAGATGTGGAGAATAAGTTTCATCACCATTCAGGAAGGGATATGTTAAAAAGTTTCCTCAAAATTCTTAAATTGGAGAATCATGATCACCTACATCAGGAAGGGATATGTCATTAAAAAAGAAAAGGAAGCTGTGGAGAATCATGATCACCTACATCAGGAAGGGATATGTCATTAAAAAAGAAAAGGAAGCTGTGGAGATTCATGATCACTTACAACATGAGAAATAAAGCCTTAAAAAAATTTTCAACTGGGAAATTGATTAAAATTTAATAATTTGAAGAGAACATGCATGAGCCCACTCTCTCATTTCAAATACAGACATTATGAGGGTCCACTGTCAGTGAAAGAGATATCAGATACCTGTAGGAAATAGCAAAACCTTAGATAATATGTCATTTTTATAATCCAAGATACTTGCATTTAAGATGTATTGGATCATTATGAGACACTTTACATGTGCATAAAATAAAGAGTACATTGTGCATGAATAAAATGCTAGATCAGTTCTGATCATGCAAGTAAAATAAAATGCTACTAAAATCTATTATTACCCCCTGTTTTAGTTTGTAGATATTGTTGATATAGAGCAGGTTTTGCCACCAGTGACTGCGACAGTTTTCAGAAAAGTCTGTCTTCCAATAAGGTCCATCAAACAGATATGGAAGGATGAACGTATAAATCATCAGGACAACTGCATAACATGGTGTCAGTCTGAAATAAGAAAGTCATTTTGATCACAAAAATATTGGCACCAGCATCATTCAAATGATGCTGTATTTATAAATACTTCAGAAAGTGTAATAAGTAGAAACTTGAATAGACTGCTTCCTTAGGAAAAAATTGTTTGTGTACTGAGTCTTCAATTAATGTTATATAGATAATTGTTCATAGACTGACTCCTATTCATGACATATAAAAATAATTGTCCATATATTGATACCTACTTGTGGCATATAAAATAATTGTCAATATATTGAGTCCTATTTGTGACAGAAAAATAATTGTTTATATACCAATTACTATTTGTGACATTTTAAAATAGTTGACTTGCAGCATATAAAATAATTGTTCATAAACCAACTCCTATTTTTTAGAATAAGTTGACTTAGTAACTTGTACCAACATTTTTCTTGAAGGTGTAACATCACAGTCAAACATACAATAAAATTTCACTCTGGAGTATGAAATCTGTACAGTACTTTTGTACAAGGACATGGACTAAATTGACACTAATTAATAAAGACTAAACACTTCAAATGACTTGGTGTATGAATCAGTAATAACAAATTTACTATAAAGAAATTGAACCTAGATGTGCTAAGGACTGCATATCAGCATAAATTGTGCCTCTTACTCTGTAACGCTCTACATTGTGTGTGTGAACCTCATAGTAAAAATAATGAAATTCCAAAAATCTTATACATTGTTCAAGGAAGGTGACTGCAAAAATTTGTACATCATTTGTTGTATATTCTGACAATCATGTTCAGCAGGAATTTGAACTTATACTGAGGCTGCTTTTTTATAGAGTTACGATTAATAAGTTAATATAGCAGGCATTTAGTAATGAGATAAATTCCTACTTGCTGCCTCAAAATGTTGGTTTTACGTCAAAATGAAAACTGAAAGAAAAAAAAATCATTCTGCGTTTTATGTCCCCAATGCTGAAAACCCAAAGATGGACAGTTGAGATAATATTGTTTAAAAACTGCTTGCACATAAAGTGAGGGTTCATTTTTAATAAACTTTGGTTTTAACTTACCCTGACCTTATGACATACCAAGGTCGGCTGGAAAGTTCATAGGCTGTCTAGGATATAAATGTAAGTGTTGTGGCCTTGTTAGGGCCAGAATTAAAGACACAACAGATGAATTGAGTTAAATATATTAACAGAAAACAGTAATACAAACATATACAAACAAAAGTGTTACAGCAAGAATGTTTGGTCTGACTCTCAGAGATGACTGCTGGAAACTTCACCCTCCAAAAGGCAGTACCTGCTCCTATTTATAGCTGAGAGAGTCCATGTCTGTGTGGGTAAATTGCCATAACAGTAAGTAGACAAACCAGTTGGTAGACTAGAGACATGCAAGTGTACCAGAATACATTAGCTGGATAATTCATTTTCCAGCCGACTATCGTATGCGCATAGTAAAAGATGTAGCAAATGCAATTTTTAATCCAAAATAAAGAATACAAGAAAATTGTCTTTACCTGAGGTAACGTCGCACATATATAAGGAACACGGTCTTTAAACCAATATTTCCTTTGCTATAGTAATTGTCCAAGAAGTAATAGGTAAGCAGAGTTCCACTGAAATATGACAAAAAATACCTACTTTTGAAGTAATGCAGATGATCATTATATATTTTATTATTAAATTATTACAGAAGTAACAATATAGTTTACAAAATGGAATCAGAATTGCTTTCTGACTGAGAAATCTACATAATAATATTAATCAGGAAAGAATTATAAAAAGTGAAGGAGAGAACTGTGGAAAGAAAAGGTAACAGATTTTTGCGATGTCAATGAACACTCGTTGCCACTTACATAATGCTTGTCGTAGTAGAGACTTTGTAATCACAGATACAATGATAGTAATGCTGTTGAACAATACTGGTGTCAGACACCTTCGAATAACACTCGCACTAATAGTACTTGCTTGATAATACTCATGTGAATAGTAACCACCAAATAGTGATCCAAATAGTAATCCATATAGTGACCACTTCGACGCCACACTAATTCCCAAATATACATTTCCTTTACCATCACTTGATCTACTTATTCAAAATGGGATTGCCTGTGTTTGCTCTCTGGTGATCTGTGTTAAAACACTAGTATCGGCAGGGATATTTTATTCCTATATAACACAGGTAAGAAAGAGGAAGGTGGAGAAAAGAGGGTGTGAAAGAGGAAAAGTGGGAGGTAAGGAAATGATAAAAAATAGATCTGTGAAAGAAGAAAGGTAAGAGATGAGAAAGAGAAAGAGAAGAAAAGAGGGTGTGAAAGAGGAAAGGTAGGAGGTAATAAAGTGAGAGAAAGGAGGTGGGGAAAAGAAGGTGTGAAAGTGAAGAGGAAGGAGATAAGAACGTGAGAAAAAGGAAGAGAAAAGAAGGTGTGAAAGAAGAAAAGTGGGAGGTGAGAAAATAATGGAAAAAAGATCTGTGAAAGAGGAAATGTAAGAGGTAAGAAAGAGAAAGAGGGGAAAGGAGATTGTGAAAGAAGAAAGGTAGGCAGTAAGAAAGTGAGAGAAAGGAAGTGCGGAAATGAAGATGTGAAAGAGAAGAGGAAGGAGATAAGAACGGGAGAAAAAGGAAGAGGGGGAAAGAGGGCGTGAAAGAGGAAAGGAAGGCAGTAAGAAAGGTAGAAAAAGGAGGTGGGGAAAAGAAGGTGTAAAAAAGGAGAGGAAGGAGATAAGAACGTGAGAAAAAGGAAGAGGGGGAAAAGAGGGCATGAAAGGAAGGAAGGAAGAAAAACAAAAACCAAATGGAAGGGAAAAAATGAATACATACACACATGCATTTTGGTTTGTGTATATATGAGCTCTTTGCTATGGTACCAAGAGTGTTTGAATTTAAACACAGTGCTGATAGCAGACATGGAAAGGAAATTACAAAACCTCTTACAGAAGGTAGCAAAGGAGAACAAGAAGAAGGGACTAAGTATAAACTACAAGAAGGTAGAATGCATGGTCATCAGCAAAAAGGTGAGGGTTAGATCCAGTGACAGGACCCAAAGAGTGTGAGTTCAATACCTGGTTAAGGCAGTGGAGAACTTTCAGAGGGAAAATTAACAGGAGATAACTGATAACTGACATCAATTAAACATGGCGCATGGAACTAGAACAGTCTACCCCAGTGAGTGAAATAAAGGGTTCAGTTCGACATTCCAACCACCTGAAGAAGGCTGGAGCATACAACGGCCGAAACGTTGTGATAAATATGGTGACATAGATGAGGACAATAGTCTGAATAATGTAAATAATGTACATAATACCTCATCTCAGAAATATAGACAGACTCTGAACCCATACTTAGTCAGAAAATACAATCTCTCTCTATCTAGCTCATCTATCTCTCCATCTGTCCCTCTCATTCAATTTCTCTCTCTCTCTCTCTCTATATATATATATATAATTTTTCAAAAAACAACCGTATTAAGTTGTTCATTTGCCATTCATACCTGACGACTTGGGAAATCATGAAACTTTAAGTTGCACTACAAACAGGTATATATGTATTTATTAATATATATTTCATAGCTCTGTTTAACAACACTGAGCACTGTTTTGTTTGCATCATAAATTAGATAAATATTTATTTGCTTATCTGTGTATGCATGTCATCGCACACATATACAGTTGTTAATATCTCATTATTTATTTTATAATCACACTTATATGAAAAATTTCTCGGAGTTAACCTGTAGAAAAAGACAATATTTATAAATGTAAAAGACAATAGGAAAACTGTAATATTAGCTGATGTGTTTCATCCAATGTGGACTTTTTCAAGGCAAAAACGAAATGAATTTATTAATAGTTACTTTGTTTTAATAAATTAATTTTGTTTTTGCTTTGAAAAAGTTCACATTGGATAAAATGCAATGGCTAATATTACAGTTTTCCTATTGTCTTTTACATTTATAAATCCCACTTATATCTATATCTATCTATCTATCTATCTATCTATCTATCTATATCTATATATATATATATATATATATATATATAGATTAATAAATATACATTTTTTTCCTGACCAGTAGTAGAGTTTCATGTACAAGACAGTCAATCTCTATTCATCACCTGAAGATTGCATTGTGTGTGAAACTCCAAGTTGTTCTACCAGTAAGGAAAAAAATGTATATTTATTGATATATACTTAATAGCTCCGTTATATTACATCAAGCACTCTTTTATTAACACCAACACTCAATGTATGATATATATATATATATATATATATTAATAATTTTACCTCAAGCAAGTCAATAAAGCCACTAAAACAAAAGTGGTTACTGAATGTGAAAGTATATGAAAAAATAAAACAAGAAGAGAAAACAATAAAAGAAAAGGAACTAAGAAGACAGAAGATAACGATTGACATTGCATTTAAATTTTTGAAGATCAAAGTTGATTGGAAAACATGGAGCTAGAAGAGAGTTCTACAAATGAAAATTGAGCGAGAACAATAGAAGAGTAATCAGGAAGACAGTAGATAACGATTGACATTGCATTTCAATTTTTGAAGATCAAAGTTGATTGGAATTTAAGAAGCTGAGAGAGAGTTCCACAAGTGAGATATGTGAGTGAAGAAACTGCTAGTATAGAACACATATATATATATTTAAGCTAGGACAGAAATTCCTAGCTTTAATTAAAAAAACACTTTCCTACCAATAGTAGACTTAGTAAAATATTTAATAAAAACACCCTAAAATTAAGTTACAGCTGCACTGAAAATCTAGAAAGTATAATAAAAAAAAAAACAACACTATAATAAAATCCTGAACAAACCCCCATGTCTGAATAGTATTAATAAAAACCCTACACTTAAATTAGACAAAAATAGTGAAAAATTATGTGATTGTAGAAACCCAGAAGACTGCCCATTGGAAAATAAATGCTGCGTTAAATCTGTGGTATACCAATGTACTATCTCATCCATTGAGAGTCCTAATACTAATATGATATACATTGGGTCTACAAAGAATGAATTTAAAACCAGATGGAGGCAGCATAAGTGCTCTTTCAACAATATTAATAAAAGAAATCAGACATCTCTATCTAAATATTTTTGGCATTTGAAGGAAATGAATAAAACACAAAAAGTAAAATGGAAAATTATAAACAAAACTAGAACTTGTAAAACTTGGGATGACCCATGCCCTTTATGCCTACATGAAAAACTACACATTATTAAGTTTCTAAATAATAAAAATCTATTAAAACAGACATGAGTTTTTTGCTGACATTATCAAATTTTTGCATTGAATAATTAGCATAAAAACAAACAAACAATATAATAATTTTTAAAATCCATAGTCCTAATAAATAGTTTAAATGCCCTACAGAAAAAGATAACCCTTTATGAAGTTGTCAAAAAACAAATGTTAGCGATTTATGACAGTTTTTATATACACAAAACCCTTTCAGAAAAAAATAAAAATAAAATAAACAAATCTCCATAGACACTTAACCAGACTAGACGATGTCATCTTCCGCTTTAAATTTAGACACCCCAACCTTACCCTGACTTGACATCTGTGAATGTAACTGAGATATTGATACAAATTATTAACACCTCACGCCCCTTTTTCTTTAAACAATTGCTCTAGCCGTTACCATAGAAATTTTGATTTCAATAATGAATATGCTTATAAAACGTAAATTTCAGAAATAAGTTATTCCAAAAAAAATTTTGCTTGAAGATGGAACAGAGCTTAGTAATTTAATTCAATTTAATTCAAATAATTATATTGAAGATTCAGCTCTTGTTTTGAAACATGAGAACTCTTATGTAGCATGTTGGAATCATATTTTTAAATAAATAATTATATTTATGCTCTACTTTTGTATCAAGCACTATTTTTTAAAAATAATAACAAAAATACTAAAGAACTTTGGATTATTTACCTAACGAGTTCTTTCCTATTTTCTATATATTTTTCACACACACACATATATATATATATATATATATATATATATATATATATATACACACATATATATATATATATATATATATATATATATATATATATACTCGTGGCCTGACGATTGCGTCTAGCATGAAACAGACTGTCACTTCTAAGTGTTAACTTTAATGTTTACTTTTATATTTACACACGCTCTATCACTGATCTTGAGCACTTTATCTCATAAATATAGCACACCTTAAGAGTATATTTCTTCATTCATAATTGGAAAAACACAATTGTTTTTGCACAAAATCAATTTGAAAACATGATTAAAAGGCATCGCAAGAATAAAAGGGAGACAACTCATATTGAGTTATACTTATTATAAAACCCAGGTTGTTTGTGTGTGTGTCTGTTCGTTTATATATGGGATCGGATTTCCTACATTTTTCAAACGATTTCTACAAAACTTCACTTTTTTTTGCAGGTAGTGTTTCTTATTGTCTTGCACACTTTTTTCTTTATTTTTTCATTCAGAATGCTTTAAAAATTCCATTTACAACACAATTGTTTATAATAAAATTCTATTCAATCGGCAGATCCATAACGATTGAAAGCAATGTTTTTGTTTCAGTTTGGGTTTGACCAATCCGTAAAAAAAACAAACCAAAGAGAAAAAACTAATTAAGACATGCGTGTCCGTCAACCTTAAGCAATAATCTTTGTCAATTTTATTTTTCAGTCTTTATGATTGTCGATACTTGATCTATCTCTTACTGTTACATCCCCGGGCAACGCCAGGCTCTACTGCGAGTATTAAATAATTTAGACAAGTTTTGTTTCCTTATTTTTAATAGGATCTTCTCATAATTATAAACAAGTTTATAAGATAACTCCCAATTTTTAAGAGTGATTTTTGGGATTTAAGAATGTCTTATATGTGGAAATATATGGTATATATGTGTATGTGTAGAAATAACCTTTTAATTGGTGTCAGTAAAACAGTTGATTTCTGAAGTGCATTACCTGAGCAGGAAGAAAGTATCCACAGCAAAAGGTGCAGCTAACACTGCTTGAAAAGTAAAACTCTGATGTAACTCAAGTCCATCCATCATATTTTCTGTGGAATAAAATAAAATAATGTCAGTGCCAAGCATTTCTGCAGGTTTTTATTGTAATGCCTGCTTTACCATTTAAGAAGAATTAAAAAGTGAATGCAGATATGTAAAGGTGTTTTCTTTCCTTGAGATTTACAATGTTTAGTCATTTACTCATTCTGGGATATACATCAGTTGTGGGAGACCGAGAGTTAGTTCAGGTTATAACACAAGATAGTAGTTGAGATAGACCTGAGGAGAAAATCAAAACACATTTATTTGAGTGAAAGACTTGTGGGGGAAATTTCAACAAAAATTATTACAGTAGTCGAGAGTTAGTCTCTGCAGTTGCTGCTGCTTTTGTCATTGGTTGAAGGCATCACTTGATGTCACTATTGATGACCTGGTTAAGCTTACCTGCCATGAGGTCCATCACTAATGGCAGCATGGTCGGATCTGCTTTTGTGGGTGAAATCAGCATTGACTTTAGTGGGTCAGTGTTTCAGAAACAACGGTGAAAACTGTGCAAGGCTTTTCTGACTGTTCCAAAAATATGTTTTCAGATCTGGGTTATAAAATAAGCTGGTCTTGAAGACGAATTTACTTGTGTACTGAGTTTGATAACAGAAAATGGAAAGGTGCATAAGAATAGAAAAACATACCTTTCCAAAACTAAGTAAAGTATCAAGATACAGGTAAATATCTTTAGAAA